TAAAGCAACTATTCTATTTAAAATTGTGTTTTAACAATTATTTTAACAACTGAATAATCAATAACAAAGGAGAATCCCTTTTAAAAGAAATTCATTTGAAAGGTATTTATTAAATTACTTTTATATAGGCCTATGAATATTTTCAGATTTAGTTGCCTATTTCATTGAAAGTATGTATTAAAAGCAACACTATGCATTCAAATTGAATTATTTTACTAAATGAATAGTAAAGATGTCTGAAATGTATATCTAATTGATGGAATTACTGAATTATAACACCATGAATTATATTAAGTATTAAATAAAAACTAGTTATGTTACGCCATCAACAACATGTGAGTCAAAGCCTTCTGTGCCAATTTACTCTGTCCATAAATCCCCCATTAACAAATAGATACAAAATCCTTTAATATTCAGCATAATACAATGTCACAATTACTATTTTACAGACACTAAGTCTCACAAATGTTAATATTCAGATGAAATGACAAAATTAAGAAGAGCATAGCCATTCATTAAATGTGTTGAGATTACAAAAATAAGGCTGTTATTATTATTTTTATTTTTTTAATCTAATTTAGTCAAATTTAGTCAATCACCTTACTTAATGAACTTGAATTTGGTTTTGTTATTTTTAATTACAAAAAGTAACATTATGAAATTCAAAAACAATGTAAAAATTGTTACGTTATGTTAAAAAATATGACTACACTGAAATTACACCTAAAAGAAAAATAGAAAGTTAAATAACTCCAATATTATTGCGTTCCACAAAAGAATTATGCAACGAGGGTGGACCAAGGACAAAATGTTTAGTTTAAAGCAAATGTGAATGGGTGATTTATGACACAACATTTTACAAAAACATTTCTTTTTGACATTTTTTTTTAAGTTGCATTCAAAATAGCCTACACATCAAGCAGAGTACATTTGGATGGGCATGACACTTCTGACAGTTAGCCAGCCCACTGGATGCGATAAATGTCAAAAGCAATTATTTGATTCTGGCAAATGAGCAGCTCATGGACAGACCTGAAAGGGGGAATTTCTAGATTTTTTCTATATTCTTTTTTTTTTTTCATACACCCAGACAGATGTGAGTAAACCAGTTCAGTGTGAGCTACATCAATTTATTGAATCAATATTAGACATGATATTTAAAAATTGAGTGGAGTAAAGTGAATGAAAATCTAATTTCCATTTTGTGCAGCATGTGACCAGATTAGTGAAGGCCAGTTGTTTGGGGAAACTCCTTGGTGTTCTATACATCAGGAAGTGACAACTGTGTGACGGTCAATCAAGATAAAAAGAGACTGAGCGATGAAAGTCTCATACTGAAGACCTGTCAAGGTTAAGCTTGAGGAGGCATCTATGTTGATGTCACAATGACACACTGAGAATTTCCTGATTTCAGGTGAATATAGAGTGAGAGCATGCCGTCGCGTGTCGGCTGAGGTATAAGAACAATGTTATCAAGAAGCCTGATGAAGATGAATATCATTGGCCAGAATACAGAGGCCTGTAACCCAGAAAAAAAAGATATTAGCCTTATTCTATCATATTTCAATGTTAAATTAACAACAGTGGCATAAAATGACTATTTTTTGACTATCTCTAAGGAATCCTGAATCATATCCAGCAGTTCCTGCATTAATCTTGCACAAGGCCACCAGTTTCAATCAACATGATGAATAATCTGTAAAACATTATTTCAAATTACCACAACATTTGGGACTGAATCCTACATCAGCACCTTTGGTTGCCAGTACACTCCTAAAAAGGTGATTCAGAGGTTTTTTGGATGACAGTCTTAGGTAGAAGCAAAAGACTACTTAAATGTTCTGAGCAGCATCTAAAGATTCTTGGCAACAAAAAAGATCTTTAATAAAATATGAAAAAAGTAGATATATTTTCATTTGGCACTGAATATAATGATGTGTTTATAAAATAATAAATAATTTCATGCCTATATTATCCTGTCAGATTATTCCTTTCAACAAGTCTTGAGAAAGCGTATCATTTTTAACTACTGTATGAGTTTGACATATTTAATTATTGCCTACTAAATGAATAATATTAAATTATTATATTACACTTCCAAGAAGAGCGAACAGTTACTTTTTCTGTAGACTTTTTATTTAATTCTAATAGCTCTTTTTTAAATTGCTGTGATTCTGTTTTCTCAAGTAAGTGGTACATTTTAAATGTAAGTGGTATTGGTTTTCCTCAGGTAAGTACATTTTCAGCACTCCAGCGGGAGCTCACTGGGATATGCTAATCAGCCAAACCATGACAGCTTATCTGCAGGTGGTATTCCAGGGATTCTCATTCTAGAAAGCGTTTGATTGGACAAAAATCTGTGTAGTGCAGGATGAGTCATCAGTATTTTTGGTCAGTTTGCCTGGAAGAGAAAGACTGTACATTTGAAATATATAATATCTAAATGCTATTTTGCCCACTTTTAGTAGTACATCAGAATATAGATTACCTCAAAGCTAACAAAATTCATGGAATGGAAAATGGCACTCTTTGTGACATTAAACAGTGGTGTCCTCTTACTATAGCAATTATGTAAACAAAATCATTTTAATGGTCTATTATAGCAACCGCTAATGTGTTGATGTCATTGTGTCATTCTCTGGAAGAGGGTTTGGTGCATGCTGGTTAAACGTAATATACCACTCATTAGTCGAGCTTTCTATGTGCTTGCCTAAAGGACCCAAAAGTAATGAAATGAAAGTCTGACAGTGCAATAATTGGTCATACTTCCCTAGCAATCTTCTTTCGGAGATGGTACTGTATTTTTTTTAGCAAATTTCTTTGGATGTGCAGTCTTGTGTATAAATTCATTTTTATCAAATTTGCCATGGAGATTTAAACCTAATCCGCATATATGATCCTCTTTGGTGCATTAACAATAGTCCACAGGGAATATTTTGAGCTGTGGTATTATGCATGTTTTGAAGCTTTGAAGAAAAATGTTCCCTCACAGATTCCACTCAGGATCTAAACACTAACAACTATTTAATTACATAAAATTGAGGATATCCGACAAGTGTAAATCACGCAGTAGAAAGCCCTCTCTTAATCTGCCTTGTTTTACTGTGTAAACATGAACACACAAGCACACACTGAGCAGAATTGTTCTTCTTTTCCTTACTTGGAATTAGACATATGACAGGAAATGATCTTATCCATACATTTTCTAAACTTTATAATCTCTCACGTAAGGTCCCTCTGCATGAGCAAAAACACCCAAGAAACATGCTATTACATAAAAGATCATTTAATTTAAAATTACTGCATATGAATGAGGATTGCATCAATTTGTGCTGTAGACGGTTTTGTTATTATGCAGACTTTAATGAGATATCTAAAGTGTCATGTACATTACAGTGGAGAAGCTGCAGAGCAAACCACAGTCTTTGATAATGGGCTGCATGTGTTCGGATTCCTTCACAAGGCATTGATGTTTTATTAACATATTCACTTGAGGGAAAAAATGCAAGCCAGAACCTTGCTAAAAAAGTGATTCTGATATTCTGATGTTTGTTTCAAAAGCTCTGAATCCTTATTACAGCTTTCTGAAAGTATATGAAAATTATTGAAATGAACTTTGTAATTCAAGCTTTATCTTATACTGTCATGTGTAATGTACCTTACAGTTTGTGAAATACAAAACTGGTGCATTTCAGTCATACGTTTACATGTTAAATATGAATTATATAATGATGTCTAGCATTCTACCAGTTCAGTTATAATATATATATACAACTGTACAATGATAGAATGGATCCACTAGGTTGTTTTGTACTCATCTTATATAGTTTTTTTTTTTTTTGCCCTTTGTGTTTAGGACAAAGCTGTCGAACGTGAGCGGAAGCCTGCTGGGAAGCGATAAGCATGTTGTCAAACAGGTTTTTTGGCCTTTTGTTTGTGAAAGTAACATGCCATTTGAATGCCATGAATGGTTATGATTTTTTTACCATGACATTACTGTACACATGTGCATGTCTGACAGTAGTGTAATTCATGCAATTATTAATGCATTGAATCATGCTACATACATAAGGTATCAAAATAACACACTTTTTGGTAGGCAATTTTGTCAATATGAGTTACCATTCACAACTTATTTTACTCCTCTAAAATGATGTTTTCAAATTAAATCAGATATTCAGCGAGAGAAAAAAATGTGTGCTGACAGATTAGATTGTGTTACACATCAGAATGGAGCCAGACTGAATGTGAGTAGGCAAAAAAAAAATGCTATCTGTCTAATTAGTTAAAGGGAAAGTTCACTCAAAAGAAACAAAATTGTCATTTACACACCTTAATGATATTACATTGAATTTCTTTCTTTTGTGGAACATAGAAGATATTTAGAGAAATGCCTCTGTTTTTTTTTTCTCCATACAATAAGTCAATGGTCACCAAAACATTTTGGTTACCAACATTCTTCATAATATCGTCTTTAGTGTTCCACAGAAGAAATAAAGTCATACAGGTTTGGAACTACATGAGTATGAATAAATGATGACAGAATTTTAATTTATGGGTAAATTATCCCTTTAACATTATTCAATAGCCTGTGCAACCTAAGTGACTTAACAGATATAGAAAGACATTTCAGTGTTGGAGCACATTTTGATTAAATATTGCAAAAAACAAACAATTGTCCTCTTAGGAATAACATGCCCTGATGAATTATTCAAGATAAATAAACTGACTGAATTTAGATTTTATGTTGACTTCCACTACATACTGCTAGTCATAAAATCCTTCATTCATAACTCTTCCATTCAGCGAACACACCTGAGTTCTTGACCAAACCCAAACAACGGTGTGAAATTCTAGGAATCTAAATCACAAACAACAGCAAGACTGTTTATAAGAACAAGCATTGCAGGAGGAAGGAAATCGATAGCAGAAATCAATGCTGCGCTCCCTCTAATGGTGGAGTTGTCTGTCACCAAACACGGCTCGCTCTCTGCCAGGATCTCAACCAGTGTGCTAGCTGTTCAGTTGCTCCACGGCTTCTGTATTGTTGCACCGTTGAGCCAAGGTTAGGGCGGTACATCCTTTTGAGTCCTGAATATCCCGCTGTGCATTATTCATCAACAGGGCTTTGATGATGGGGATGTTCCTGAGCTGGACGGCTAAATGCAATGGCGTTGCCTGGCTATTGTTCTGGGCATTCACATTGGCATGATGAGATATCAGCTGCAGAACGCTAGGGAAGCAGCTACTATTACAAGCTAAATGGAGGGGTGTCCAGCCGTTATCCTCGGCCAGGTTAGGGTTGGCACCTGCTGTTAGCAGCACCGTCACCACCTCCTCCTGCCCATGATGGCAGGCAAGGTGCAGAGGAGTCCAGCCGTCTTTCCCTTGGACGTTGACTGAGCCGTGGTGCTCCTCCAACATGAGGACAGTCTCCGGATGGCCTTTCAGGGCTGCCAGGTGCATGGCTGTCCAATTCTGATAAGTTCTGATGTTGGGGTCGACTCCTTTACTCAAAAGGAGTCTGCAGATACCTGTGTAACCCTTTAGAGCGGCAAAATGTAGGGGACTGTAGCTTTGCTCATCGACTGTTGTCACATCAGCCCCATTATTAACCAGCAAACGGACCACCCTGAAGTGCCCTTCATCTGCTGCCAAGTGTAGAGAAGTGGATTGAAGGTTATCCGCTTTGTTAAAGTCAGCTCCATTTTTGAGCAAGAGGTTGACGATGTTCACGTAACCATAAATGCAAGCCACGTGAAGCGGAGTACGGCCAGACTGCCGCTCCTGCTCATCCATGGCATCCAGACGTCGGAGCAAGATTCTCACAATGTGCTCGTGGCCGTTCTGAGCAGCTAGATGCAAAGGTGTCCACCCGTCCTTCTCCTTAGCATCGGCTCTCGCCTTATTGTCTAACAAAAGGCGAACAGCTCTGTCATCGCCAGCCTGTACGGCAAAATGCAGAGCGGTCCACTGGTCGCCATCGCTGAGGTTGACATCAGCCCCACAGTCTGTCAGCAAGCTGCAGATCTCGTAAAACTTGTGCAGAACCGCAACGATGAGCGGGGTGTAGCCTTTTACACTCTGGCAGTTCACTGAGGCTCCCAGATTCAAGACCATCTGCACGCTTTCTGTGTCCCTGCTTGCCACGGCGTGATGAAGGAGAGAGTTGTTGTCTTGGAAGAGCATAGACACGTGCTCTTTTCGCAGAACTTTCTTAAAACTCTCAAAGTCTTTCTTTACAAGGAGAGAGTGAATGCTAGAATCATCTGTAGGGGGAAAAAATGGATGGAGGACAGTTTTATATCGAGTAAGAGCGTGGAGAGTTTGTAGAGATAGAACAAAAGACGCTGAATGCGAAGACTTGGTCAAAATACTTGCCTGAGGAGACAGCTGTTTTCTTTGGCTAATGGAAAGAAAACAAAATTGAATGAATGTTATTTCTATTGTGTGAATAATAACAATATTTGTTGACATCAGATAGTGGTAAAATATGAAGGTGTTATTGCTATGGATTTTAAAAAGTTTGTGTGGATTTTATTTGTTTATGTTGTGCTGGTCAATATGGCAGTTACCTTATAGTATGTTTACATGATTTACAGCTTTTTGCATAGTCAGGCTAAACTGTATCTCTAAAAACGCTTTGCATGTCATCACTGATTTTTGGTGCAAGTGTACAACTGAGGGTACATTTACACATCAACAAAGTTTTTCCTTTGCGTTTTTGAAAAGTTTCGCGTACAGACGACAACATTGTCAAACAATCCCTCTTCATAAGGAACCACGAAAATGACTAAAAACACTATATTATCAATGCCAGACATGTCAAACAACCAATCACAGTTCGTTTCGTTCAGCGCCACGTTTCGGGGCATGGAAATGTCGCCACAATAACAGACCGGTGTGTAAAACTCTTGGACGCATTTTAAAGATTCTATGCTGCGAACTTTAAATATTTCACATACTTTTGAAAATCCAGCTTTTAGTTGATCCTGATAAGCGCTCATCGTCACACTTTCTTCTTTCGTGAGGGGGTTTGGCGTCACGGCATCTTTGTTTCCAGGCAGAACGTTAAAGAACGCGACACACACGTCTCCCGGAAATCCTATATAATTCAACCAATCCGATGACAACTTCGAAACTCCTGAAGTGTTTCCACTTTTGTGTGCCGTATGTATCAGACGTTCAGCCAACGGTCCGTGGGCGTGACGTCTGAGGCTGACTAGTCACTTTGTAAAGAAACACTATGTGTCTGCAGACATACCTATAGACTGAACACGTAAGATGCATGTGCATGACTTCATTGTTTTCACAAATTTGCATTTTTGCAGTTTACATGGAGACATTAACCATATCGTTTTCCAAAACCTGCACTTTGAAATTTGTTTTCAAAAGTTTGCGCTTTCAGGCCCCCAAAATGCTGTTGTCGTGTAAATAAAAAGGACAAAACACATGAAAAGATGTACATTTTTACTTGAAAACTGTCATGTAAATGCCCCCTGAGGCCAACTGAAGTCTGATTAATGTATAAATGCTGGATGGCTCTGAGCTGCAATCGTATTATCTAGGTCTGTTAGTTCGACTTAGGCTTGAAACTGGACGGCTGCAACTTCAGTCGGTCTGAAGTGCTTATAATCTTGTCTAAAAACACGTTGCGCATTATCATTGAGCAAGCACGCAATACTGACACCAATTGTAGTTTGATTACAAGTATGAATACTGGACCAAGCTGAAATGCAATCGATTTTTCTTGGTCTATTTATTGACTGGTACAATTTCAAGTGTTTATGACATTTAACAAAGATGAATCATCTCATGTTTAAATAATTCCTTAACATTCTGCAGGTTTCCTTCCCAAAGTTAGAGGAGAAAATAGTAGAATGTGTTCACAGATCCCCAAGTTTTACTCAAACTAACACCTTATGTGCTGACGGTGTACTGTGGTCTAAAGATGCACTGGAAGAGTCACTTACGTTCCATACCTGTTCAGGCAGACGCTTTCTTATCTCACCCTTTGCATTCGTGTCTGGGATTTTTAGGACTTCGCTAAGGACTTCAGTCAACCGAACAGTCACTGCAGAGAAATGGAGATGATGCAGCTGAATGTCACTTTGGGAGCAGTTTTGCTCTAGCTCTTTTTCAGGCCTTCTTACACAAGAGTGATAGTTTGGTTAAAAATGTGCAAAGGCCAGCCAATGATTGACAGCCTTTTAACCGCCTAATGGGAAATTTTGTGTATAATATGAGATAAAATCGTAGCGCAGGGGATATAACGGTGCTAATCACACTGCATTTTTAGTAATCTGATGTACAAGATTAATTGAATTCAACACATTATACAATACGACACTGCAACAGAATTATCAGAAGCTTATTAAACTACTTTAATGCTTGAACACAAACAGTGAATATTAAAATTCATTATCGCAGACACTAAATCAAATAATTTAATTACTAAACGTGACCTGAGGAAGATACAGTCACAGAAGAACTGGGAGGCTGAAAAAAGATGCAACAATGTAGGCTGTTTGCTCATTGTTATTTCAGTAGAGTAAGACAACTGAGCAAATGTCTGCTGGGACTTTTGGAATTAATTTTGTCTGTATATATAATAAAGCACTTATTATAGTCTTCATTAAACAGAAACAAGAGCAAAAATTAGGTTTGTTACCAGAGATAGCCGGTCGCCTGGTGCAGTCTTGGTGCCAGCATTGCTGCATGACACCAATCATGTCATCGCACTCAGGGGGCTTGTCTTCAGGGATCTTCTCTACACCAGGCCTTTTGCCAGATGACACTCTGAGTAATATTTCTGTCATATTCAGACCTGTGACAAGGAGAATAGAACAAACTGCTTGGAGTGTTATTTTTTGTACTATACAAACTCCAAATAATGCACTTGTAAACAAACACTTGTTCTTCTAGCTCTCTCATAACAAACAAAGAGGAAAAGGAACTCGCTACGAATGTTGTGCAAAAGGGCCTGAAACTTATTTTTTTCAATAAACACTGAGTGGAAGATGGTTCAGAAATGTTAACTGGCAACCTCAGGTGGTCAAAATAAATATTATATGAGCTCTTTTGTTCTGTATTCATTTTAGATGATTTTTCTTTCAGTTAACACTATTACCAAAATGCAGGATGTTTTTTCCCCTTCTAGGGAACACGCGCTGCATCCTCTAGCGGACACTATGAGGACTCTCGCCATTAGGACCATTCTGAAGCACATGTGAAACAAAGCCTGGCTTCTATGACTAGGTTGGGTTCCTCTTGACACAATCTTGCTCAAGTAGGCACTGAGTACTTGCCTTGGAAAATAGCTATGCGAGGATAGCCGTGTTTCAGCTCAGTACTGGCCCCTTATCAGGGTTTTATGTAGCGGTCTTTGAGCCTCTTGCCTAGATTGTGCTATCTCCTGTTAGGGTTTTAAGTAGATAGTCCACTTTACATGGTCTTGGCAATCTTTCATAGTTGCCTTTTTGTTCCCCATAGTGTCCGCTAGAGGACACTGTGCGAGTTCTCTAGAAGGGGAACGTCTCGAGTTACACATGTAACCATGGTTCTCCGAGAGGGAATAAGACACTGCGTCCCCTCGCAATGCCTTCGGCCTGCCTGTTTCACGTCTCCTTCGGACAACTAAGTTGGTGCAAGTTCGGCAGGCGGCCTCTTATACTTCTGTGCACCGTCTGTGATATCACGGGCTACGTGGGCCAATAGGATTGGAGTTGTTTCACACATGCTTCAGACACCAGTCCAGCTGGCGGCAGTCCCCAAAGTGTCCTAGAGGATGCAGAGTCTCGTTCCATCTTGGGGAACTGTGGTTACATGCGTAACCCGAGACGGTTTTTAACATTAATAATTAAAAAAAAAAATTAATAGACAAAACTTATCAATCAATAAAATTAAATATTTTTTTGTAAATTTAATCTACATGAAGCTACCATAAAAAAAAAAAATCATTTATTTGATTATCACTCATTTATTTTATCATTTTTTCTTGAAAAAACTTGGGTTGAATGATGAATGCAACAATTTGTGTAAAAATCTGGAAAAGTGCCAAAATGAGGAACAATATATACCTTGATATGCACGCTGCTGAGTGAGAATCTCCCACATAATAATAGAAATGCTGTAAAGTGAAAATGTTTAGATGTTTATTTAATGGCATATCATGACTCACTGTCAAAATGTCAATTTGTGTACATACTGTAAAGTTCTTTAAGTTATGAACTCTCACCTGTAACTCATTTATTTGATCATTTTTTCTTGAAAAAACTTGGGTTGAATGATGAATGCAACAATTTGTGTAAAAATCTGGAGAAGTGCCAAAATGAGGAACAATATATACCTTGATATGCACGCTGCTGAGTGAGAATCTCCCACATAATAATAGAAATGCTGTAAAGTGAAAATGTTTAGATGTTTATTTAATGGCATATCATGACTCACTGTCAAAATGTCAATTTGTGTACATACTGTAAAGTTCTTTAAGTTATGAACTCTCACCTGTAAACATCATACTTCGTTCCAGGAGCTTCTGGATTCTGGGTAAAGGTCTCTGGAGGCACATAGTTTATGTTCCCTCGAGCTGTCAGGTGTTCAATAAACTCGGTCTTACCTGAAAACTCCTCCCATTTAACGAGGCCAAAATCTGAAATCTTTAATGAGAAATTAAGTCTCAAACCACGACAACACTGAGGTTGCATACTTCAACCTAACAATGCATTTATGTAGAACGGGGGTGTCCAAACTCGGTCCTAGAGGGCCGGTGTCCTGAAGAGTTTAGCTCCAACCCCAATTAAACACACCTGAACCAGCTAATCAAGCTCTTACTAGGCATACTAGAAACTTAAAGGCAGGTGTGTTGAGGCAAGTTGGAGCTAAACTCTGCAGGACACCGGCCCTCCAGGACCGAGTTTGGGCACCCCTGATGTAGAAAGTACCATTAAAAACTGATAAAAGCAGTAACAATTCAACCTTATTATAAGGGTTACCCTTAAGGTCTCTTTCTTGTAAATTCTTTATAAAGTCTCTTTTTTTACCAGAAATAAATTCAGAAACCTTTTGAAAACAAGAGCAGTAGTATCTGACTCACCTTCACATGCAGATGATCATCAAAAAGAATGTTGGCTGGTTTCAAGTTCAAATGAAGGATGGGTGGTTTCATGCTGTGCAGAAAATTCATGCCCATCGTCATCTCGTGGATCATTTGGAACTTCTTGGGCCACATTAATAAATGACTGCTGAGGAGGTTGTCCAGGGATCCCTTTCTCATATATTCCATCACTAAACCAGGTGGATCTTTGCTTATTCCATAAATGGAGATTAAATAGCTGAACTTCAGTCTTCCAATTTTGGACATCTCTATCATGTTCCTGGGCCGTAAAATTTTAAATCATAGAATATAGTTACACACACACACACACACACACACACACAGGTTTGTTTTTGTGAAAAGTGGGGACATCCCATAGGCGTAATGGTTTTTATACTGTACAGACCGTATATTCTATTGCCCTACACCAACCCTACCCCTAAACCTACCCCTTACAGGAAACTTTGTGCTATTTCAGATTTTCAATACACTCCATTTTGTGTGATTTATAAGCGTTTTGAAAAGTGGGGACATGGGGTAATGTCCTGAAAAGTCACCTTCTCCTTGTAGTACCTGTCATACCTTTGTCATTATACAAATTTATGTCCTCATTTGTCACAAAAACGCGCGCACACACACACACACACACACACACAACATAAAAAAAATAAATAAATAGACAAAGATAATATACAGTATATTTCATATTTACTATAGTTAACTTAAAAAAAAAGTCATATATAATGCATTTTTACAACTATAATCTCAGTTTTAACAGCAATATAGTTTGAATCTTCTATTCTCATGTGTACTTGTACCTGTAATCATTGGTCGTTGTCTTTAGGGCACATGTTTCCCGCCAGACTTTAACCTTCACCTTATAGACTCGACCAAACTTGCGCTCAGCCAGTTTCTCCCAGTCATTTTCAAACTCATCTTTTTTAAAATGATTAAATCTCTCCAGGCTGCCATCTCTGAAAGAATCCTGTACACTGGAATTAGCTGCTGTCATTTTGTTTTCCAGTCTCAGGAAATGAAGACACTGCTCTTCGACATTTCTTCTTGGCACACATAAACCAGGTCAAGGAAACACATATTAAACAAAAAGCTCTGCTGGTTTTGGTGGGAGGAGTCAAGAGCCCTGATTATTAGAATAGAAATGTAACACAGCCAGTTTTGAATGAGTTCCACAGGTGAGGCTGCGAGATTTGTGCGGGACACCTGATAACTGGATATACCAGCTGTATGTTTTTACATAACAGTAGCCGCTGCCTCATAAGGCTTGTGTGCATGTTTGTGGTTTGTTGTTAGGGAAGCAGTTTAATTTTATTTAATATAATTCAGCAGAATGTACAAATATATGTGATTCTAAATACATAATTAAAGGTTTTATGATTAATTGGCTTACAGTTCAACACATAAATAAAGTGCATGCCACATTTTCAATATAATTACTATTGTTCTCTAGAAGTTCTCCCATTGTTCATTAATCACTCAAGCACTACGTCTTGAATTTCTTGGCACATGAGCAAAAACCTGTGGAGTGAATGTTATTCTAAGCCAAACTGATGCAAATTACTGTAACCTTCAATGACAGGCTTTCAAAAAATAAAGTAATAATACTAACAACAGTAATTAACAATCAAGCAGGGAGCAGCACTTTTATACTGAGGTGATAATGCGCTGCCTCTTCAGCGCTCTTGCAACACTTTGAAGTAGAGACTTGGCATTCAGCTGCTGCGATTAAGTCTTTGTCGGCCATCCAAAGCGACACTTCATCCTATAAGAAGTACACAAAGAGCCAGCCACTGCATTTCAACGTGAATACAGGATCTGCTGACTTTCTGCTTTGATGCAAGGACCAGACTCACAGTCAAAACGTGTTATAATGTTCTGCTTTGTAGTGACGCAGTGAAGGTGACTGTAATTTTCAGTGTGTGGTGCACAAAGCAATTGAAATGCTTTTAAATTACCTTTTACCACTTAAGATAACAGAATAAATACGCTAATTACCTTAATTACTGAGGAAGTAATTACGCAATAAGCAACCACAAGTGTTTCTAATGGTCTATTTCTTAAGATTTAATATCGAAGTTTGTTTCTTTTCAGTTCTGTGACATATTCACTTCATTTCCCGTGGGGCCCATTTCGATTGTACTTTCAATTACAAGTAGTCATTATGTTTTTTAGTAAGTGATCTTCAAGCCAGTAAATCTGCTGTGCCTCTAGGTTGTCCCAGCCTGGTGGTGGGATTTACATAGAGATGCATCTCAAAGGCAATGTCTGCTTGTTACTACTTAATTGATTCTTTTTTTCCTCCAATGGCAATTAATTGAAAGGGAAACACATAATGTGAAACCTAATAAGCAGTTGAACAACATGTCTAATGTAGCGCTGGGGTAGTGATACATACAGAGAAGCATTCACGTATATCTTTGACATCAGTATGTCCTACATTGAAGAATGGTAAATCTCAAAGCAGCAAAGAAACTAGGCAGTGTTAGGATGAGCAACCCAACAGTGGTTTCTGTCATCATTTATTAACCCTCATGTAATTCCAAACCTGAATTACTTTCACAAAAGAACATATTTTGAGAAATGTCTTATTGTTCTTTTTTCATCCATACAATCCATCCATGAATCTTGTTTTGGACTCCATTAACTTTCGCGAATATTCTTTAAAATATCTTTTGTTTTAAGGTGCGGTCACACAGTAAATTGTCAATACTGCGGCGATGTATGAAGTACATCTCACACACGTCACTTTCAAACCAAGCAGCTTTCTGTTGGACAGTCTGTGTGACCAACTTGAACCCGTTGAGAAATCTGCATGGGGAAAACTTTTGCCCTCAAACAGAATTCACAATCACGTGGATTCCTACAGAAATTATTGCATTTTTTTTGTAAAAACTGTTTCTGAAAAAAACATTTGCAGAAGAAGATTCAAGGTAAATCTGACTGCACTTTTATGCAGAGGAAAAAAAAGGTTTTGGAATGACATGAGCGTAAGGTGTTATATGAATTATCCCTTTAAATAGCTGTCTGTTTACATTATTGACTCATTTACTTAGCATGTACAAGTGTTCACCATGAAATGGTTGACTGGCTTGCAATTTTTACATCTCTATTGTAATATTCAAAGCATGGCGCTATGATACAGAATAAACGTGTATTTAAGAGCACTTTGGGCCTCTTTTAACAATGTTAATAGTTTCATCAGTTTCCCAGTGCAGCAACTAAACATAATGATGAGCAATTCAAAAACTGTCAGATAATGATTGAGCGCTCAATGCAGATTTTAGTCTGGTTGGCTGGTTTGCAGTGAGCTCTGTTCTGTTGGCATTCACAGAGGGCCCTGGACCAGCAGTAGGCAGACCTTTGCAGACAACGTCTGTTTGCCATCCAGACAAGAAAGAGAGCCAAACACGCCAGCAAACAGCTGGCCACTGAGCTGATGATCACCACCATGGCTTCAGTGTCATCTGTACGGCATTAACAAACCAAATCAGACCGACAGTTCAGCTGAAATATTTTTTCCATTACTTTGTTTTATTATTCCACCAGAACAACTTGGTAATAAGTTACCTGCTGTTTCAGAGAATGATGAATTGTCTGCTTCTTTCAAAACAGGGCCAAAGGAAATGCGGTTTCCCGTGCTGCTGAAGATGGCCCCTGCTTCCTTTCCGAGATGTGCATTTTGACTCTGAATGCACTGCTGAGATGAGAAATGGATAACCAATAATGTCATCATCCTGAAATCAAGCCATTACACTGAGCTAAAATACATCCCCTGAACTTCTGCATACTTTAAACTTGTTTACAGGCTCAATGAGTTATTCTGTTAGCCTACAAACTGCCGACCACTTCACCTTCTGTCTTGCAGTGACAGAGTAACAAGCTGGGGAAGATCATTTATTTAGAAACTGCAGACGCTGTCATCAAAACAGGGAGAGTAATGAAAAGGAGAAAATCTTTCAGCAGAAATACTGAGACCTTATCAACAGTGATAAATGATCCCCAAGTTTTCATCTTTGAGGCTGGGTTCAGACTCACCCTCTCGCACTCAGAATAGTTCCTCAAACACACGCTCAGGTCACAGTGCAGGTAAGCCGTGGAGTAATTGATCATCTGGAAGAGACTGATGGTGAAGCTGGCCCTCTTTGACAGGATGCTAGGAAGGAGTCTAATGCCATGAGGGTCTATAGGCAGCCTGAGGGAGTTCACATCAAAGAGACGCATTAGCTCTGAGTGCGAACAAAACTAAAATAATGAACTTGCCGGGTGATGCAAACAGAGGTGAAACGTCTGGCGCTAAAAAGCATGACAATTAAATCCTGTGGATGCTATATGCAAATAGCTGATGTTTTTGTAATTATGATAACAATGAGAGCAGTGGTTTGATTTAGTCCAATGTGAGATGGGTTATTTTAAAATCATTTAACAATTATTTTGACATAATTTATCTTATGCTATCATTGGCATACAGAATATAGTATATTTTGTAAATTACCATTTATTAGTGTCATCATAACTCTATTTTCTAAATTAAATCTTATTGATGTTACTGTGAATAATTCAGCCATGCATGAGTTTCATTTAAAAGAAAAAAAAAATTGAGCTTAAAATCAAAATGTCAAATCATGTCTCAAATCACTAACATTTCTGTTGTGATGTATAGTGGACTTCTTCAATCATTACTGCACTAAAATATTTTTAACTACAATAAAGAACATATTTAGTGCAGGTTTTTTTTTTTTTTGGTGGTATCTAAGCGTTTTTTGATAAGATGTTAAAATATATCAAAGTATCTCATCTAAAATTCGTGCACTAAGTCTAAATCTAAAATCTAGATCTACTGAAAGTACACATTGTGCTGTCTCTGGATATTAGTGGCAATGTGCTATTGGCAACAGAGCTGAGAAAGTGAATACTTCACACACCAGCAGGGACACAGACATCAGCAGTTTACTGTACTGCTCTAGCAACAAAACTTTCAGCTCGATATAGGGACATGCTTTGCCCAGTATATGTATAGCTTTCTCAAGTTCTTAGTCGATCATTATAATGCTGTTCCCCTGTGATAAGGTGACCAGTTAAAACGCAGTCATATAAACAGAAACGAATGCTGATATATTAAACTTTCACATAAAAACGAGGGAGATGGGATCCCTATAATCCAGCCATGCTCGGAACAGCTGATTTGGCACCATAATGTGAAATGTGGCCTGGTTCAAGGGCACCATGTGATTTCAGTTAATCTAAAATAACCTGAGAGGTGCACATTACCTGGAAAAAATGCAGCAGGTGGTGTTAAATTCATCAAGTCTGACGGTGGGCGAGAGGCAGCAGGATTTTATCTCTAGGTTCACCTGGCTGTTATTTGTTTTGAGGCTGATGACGACACGTAGGTTTCCGAGGGCAGGGATGAGATCTCCAGGCATGATATCTCTCTCCAAGTTCAGACTCATCTCTGCTGTGTAGTTGCCAGTGCCGCAGATATCATGAGATTTGCGCCAGACTGGAAGAAGACAATCAGATGGTCAAAATCCAGTTCAGTTCATTGAAAATTAATCATGATGACTACAGTTTATCATCATGCTGGCATCTCTAGATTGCTTGTACTTGTGCAGCTAAAGTTTATTCAGTAAAGTAACATTCTGTCCACAACAACAGCAGACATACGTCTTTATTGATATCACTAAACTGAAATGAAAGAAAAAAAATAAAATTATATATATACAGTGGGTACGGAAAGTATTCAGACCCCCTTAAATTTTTCACTCTTTGTTATATTGCAGCCATTTGCTAAAATCATTTAAGTTAATTTTTTTTCCTCATTAATGTACACACAGCACCCCATATTGACAGAAAAACACAGAATTGTTGACATTTTTGCAGATTTATTAAAAAAGAAAAACTGAAATATCACATGGTTCTAAGTATTCAGACCCTTTGCTGTGACACTCATATATTTAACTCAGGTGCTGTCCATTTCTTCTGATCATCCTTGAGATGGTTCTACACCTTCATTTGAGTCCAGCTGTGTTTGATTATACTGATTGGACTTGATTAGGAAAGCCACACACCTGTCTATATAAGACCTTACAGCTCACAGAGCAAATGAGAATCATGAGGTCAAAGAAACTGCTTGAAGAGCTCAGAGACAGAGCTGTGCCTTGCCACAATTCTGGCCAAGGTTATATATATATATATATATATATATATTAGTGCTATTTTTTCAACACATAAATAAATAAATAAAAAAATAAGTGTTTTGTTTTTCAATTACAAAAAATAGACCATCAGATAATTTCAGATTTTTTTTGTTTTGTTTCATTTTTTATTAGAGTTTTAGTTTAAATTGTGTATTTGTTCAAAGCAAATCAAATTTATTTTTAAAGCACTTTTACAAAAATAAAATACAATAATGGGGAAAAAAAATAAAACATCCTATTAGATAAGGACATAAAAAGAATAAAATAAACATACATCTGCTCAAACCTAATGGTTTTAAATGGGTTTTATTGATTTTAGACATCTTTTATTGATACAGTATTTCGGCATTTCAGTTTAGTTATAATTACATTTTGTTGCATGAATTTAAATGGGTATAGATTTTTTTATTTTGTTAGAATTTATCTATCTATCTATCTATCTATCTATCTATCTATCTATCCATCCTATGGTGCTGATTGATCTAGCACTACACAAATGCTAATAAAATAGTTTGTTTTCCACATTAAAAGTGATTTAAGAGTTCTGTGTCATTACCCGCTGAGAGAATCGGGTGATATAATCCTCCTCTTCCTGTTTATCACCGGCAGGTCTGACACAAACCCAGCAGATACCCCTGAGTCACTTTCAGCAAATGGAGTGGTGCCATGTGAAATATCTTCACTCCCTTCCCTGGACTGTAATGAACCTTTGGGGAGCGATTGTGTCTCTGTACTTGAGAAACTCAAATCCGTGTGGACAATAGGAGAGAACTTTTCCCCAGTAACAGCAGACAGCGCAGTCCGCCCAAGGTGTTTTTGTACATCTTCTGTTGCGCCTGAACTGGACATTTCGTCAGAATGAAAGTTTGATTGTGTCGTTCGTGAATGCTCATTTACTGTTGAGAAAAATTCAGTCTGGTTTTCAGTTAAGGTCACATGCTCTTTATGCAACACATTCTGCATTTGAATAAGATGCAAAGGGAAAGTTGGTGAAGTTGTTCCAGTGAATGATTCAAGGGGTGATGTGTTTAAGGCCTCTTCTGGTCGTGCTGCAGCTGTTGTGTGCCTGCTGATGCCAGAAATCGGGCTGGATGTCATGTTCCGAGGATGCAATTTAACATCTGATAAATTTACAAACATATGAAGTGAATCTTTGTGGTTGTCAAGTCCAATTATCTTTGTCATTGTTCGCTCAATAGATACTGACGGTGAAGCAGAGAAGGTCAAATGTCTTTTAGACTCTGTATTTAAGAGAGCAACAGGGGAAACAGTAGTGTGAATTGGGCTTGAAACAATCTTGAGCGAAATTGACATGAACGAGGTTTGATTCACGCCTACAACTGAATGACTGCTCTGATCATGGTGTTTCAGAGTTGTTGGTTTAACCGTGCCATCTCTCTTCTTTAAGTATGACTCAATCTGAAGTCCAGATTGTGATTGTGGTGTTTCTGTGAGGAATTCCTCTCCAGGGTGAGCTTCAACGAGCCGCTGGACTGATGGGATACTGCTAACTGTGTAGCTGCCGAAAAAAAGCGCCACAGTCCCTCTTGGGTTTTTAAGAAATTGTTGTTTGTCGTCTAATGGCAAACCAATCTTTCCAGTTGTCATCGAGTGATTTAAAAAGGCGTTCTCACTAATACTTTTCTTAGAGATAGACAAAAGTTTTGAAAGAACTCTGGCATCTGTTGTCACTGTATTTTGTGACTTACTGAAAGTTGTTGGCAGCAGCCAGGACTTCTTTTGTGGAACTGCACGAGAGAACAGGGAGATATTGGCAAACGACACCTGGGGTTTTAAAAACATAGTTGTTGTAATGAAGGTCTTTATTGTGGATATGTAGCTGTTAGGAGTCTGATGTGTTGGGGGAACTCTAAAATGTGACATGCTTTTGTTGACTGTGGTTGCATTTACTATTTTGTGTCTTGTTAATCTGCTTGAGTTCATGTTTGGCCTCTCGGATATGACGGATGGTGCTTTTTGTGATGCACCGTGCACTTGGTTTTGGTTTGTAGAGTCAAATTTAGTAAAATCTTCCATATTTGTGAATCTCTTCACAGTTGTAAACGAAGGTGGAATCGATTCAGGAGCTTGAACTGATACAAAAGGCTTTAATCTCTCTGAGGGAAAATTATTTAGAGGCTGTCGAGGCTGATGAACGTTCACTTTGAAGACATGAAACACGTTCTTAAGCTTTGTCAGAGGTGGAAGAGGCGCCGCTGTAGATAATTCCTCAAACTCATCGAGGCGTTTTGAAGAATCTTCTTGAGATGAAAAGGTTCGGGGAGCCGTAAGTGAACTTTCTGTCTGTTTCATGAACATTCGCTTATTACTTGCTGTAGTTGTTTTCTCAGCGTTGGTTAATGAGGCAGTACTAAAGGGCATTAATTTACTCAGCCAAACTGGAAAATGATCCATTCTGTTATGTTTCTCCATCAGAGAGTTATTGGATGTTCTGGCTTCTTTGGAACAAAGATGGGAAGTTTTTAGCAAAGATGAAAAGGTTTGAGCGGCCAAAGAAAGGTCACTTTTATTCAGACGATGAAGGAAACTTGTTGGCGAGGTTTGGAGTGTTGGTTTAATTTGACGCTCTTTACTTGATTTGGTGTGAAAAATCGATTTGCTTTCTAGTCCGTCCCTCGCTGAGACAATTCTTTGCATGGAATCAGTTATCAACTTGTTTTGTAACATGCATTTCGCCAGCAGCTGTTACCATGTTTGAAAAATAATTCAGCGTGGTTGCGTCTGGAATCTTTGCAGGGGTCAGCTTTGAAGTGGAGAATAAAAAAATTGAGTCTGGGTGCTTTAGTGACACCCCGAAGGGTTTTGGTCCATTGGTGCTCGGATTTTTGCTGCTTTCTGCCATTTTATTAACTATTACTTGGCTGGTTGATTTCACTTGTAATGGAGTATTAAGGATCAGTGAACTTGGTGAAAGCAGATTCTTCTGGTCTTTTGGCTCATGCTCAGATCCATTTCTTGGATTTTGACCAAGCTCAGTGGTTAAAAGCCCTGTACCCTGCAAAACTGTCAAATGCATAATGGTTGAATGGTTCTTCTTTAAAGAAACCTCTTCAGTACGATTCAGAGGGTCATCAGCTCCAAACGACTCCAGAGTCCAATTTTCAGTCTTGTTTTCGCCCCATCTTTCCATGCTCTCATTTGACTCTCCAAGATTAACAATTACTGCTGGATCAGAGGCCGATACCATGGGAATGCCATTTGTGGGTGAAGGAGTAATAGACTCCAAGACTCTTTGATTCTTGCTTTCCAGCGAATCGTGAAAAAAAGCAAAGATCTTTTCCCAGCCTCTGGACAGATGAGAGGCAGGCGTCATGGTGTTATTCATCACTGACTCAAATTTAGCCTTAGCTGAGAGATGAAGCCTCTCCACATCATTGGAGATCAATGAGAGGTCTCCGTCAGACTGAAACGGCTTTGCTGCTATGCCATCCTCACCTGTTGAACGTGAACCTGTACCATAAGCTAAGACAAAGATCGGTACATTTGAGGTAATTGCATCTTTATCAGTGGTTGTGGTTGCATTTACTGTACTTGAGTGCTGCATCTCATGTGGCGTATGGAACAAATCTGTCCCTGGAGAACTGATTACAGCTATAGTCAATAGAGCAGGGCTTTCAGTGGAAACTTTTGCACCGTTGTCACTGGAGCTGTTTTGCTCTTCTGATGGCATAATTGTTATGAAGGTTGCTCTCTCGGTTTGCAGGGACTGAAAGCCTTGCAGATCCTCCTCCTTAGCATTCACTGAAAAAAGCAGAGTTGCAATTTTGCTTGTGAGATGCCTCATAAAATACACATAAATGCCTATAGTATATAGTTCGATAGGCATTAAAATTTTATGACTGAATATACAAAAAAATAGATGGTTGCAGTTAAAATTATTGCATGTATAAGGATTGTTCCGGAACATAATACAGGTAAGCAAGTTGCAACATTTGCCGTAATTAATAATTTAGTCCTCTTTATGGAACACAAATGTGTAATATGTTGCACACTCTCAGAGAAAAAAAATGGTGCAAATGCTGTCACAGGGGAAGCACCCTTTCAAAAGGCACTAATACGCAATTATTGGTAAGCAAAAAAAAAAAAAAAGGGTATCGCTCTAGTGACAGCTTTTGCATATCTATTTTTTTTTCTGAAAGCATGGGAAATTAAGAAATCTGTGAATAAGTTGCTAACACTGAACAGAAAATTTAGAAGTACAGAACTGCACCCATAAGGACGGGCCTATAACATTGTAAAAACAATTGGTTTGAAACAATTACCCTGTATCTGTCAGGCCTGTGTTCCTGTCTCTTCTGTTTAGTATAAATGGGTAGTCTGCCTCATGTTTTTGTTGTCGAGTCTTAAACGTCATTCCATGTGTGTTTCCTGCGCTTCCTATGTTAGTGGTCCTTTTCATTTGGTTTGTTTATTAAAAGTCAAGTTTTGAAAGTCATCTCCTCGTTTCTCTCCTACACACTGTGACAGTATCTAATCAATAGTGCTCTTATAATATAAATATATAATTATATTTTTTGAAAGCTTGTACATTGGTGGGTGTAATGTGTCTCACAATTAAATAATGATATATTTTTAATTATGTAAAAATATCAACAAAAAATATATATAACATTATAAATTGCATAATGTATAATTATATACAGAAATAATGATGGTTTTATATAACTTTTAAATTCTAATTTAATTATTTAATTAACATTGTTCAATTATAATTTTGATAAATTAATTACTTAATAAAATAAATTATGAAATAATTAACAATTATAATTGTGTAATATATATTTGTAGTACTACATACATTATATATTTAATTAACATGCTAATTTAATAATAATATATATTAGCACATTAAATATTCAATTAACAATATTTTTACATTTTTATCGTATATAACTTAGTGTACATACCTGTGAGTCCAAAAATGAAAAATATGAAACCAATCCCCATACTTAATCTTCTCTCTTGGTGCCTTTTAAGCTACACAAACATAAAACCATAATGAAATTCTACTGGGATGCACTACACAGGATACTATCCCAACAGAGCTCACACTACACTCTCTGCAGGAGCCTACTGTGGGCTTTACCTTGCTCTCTAGTCATTTATAAGTAGATTAGATTACTGACATGTGAACAAAAGCAAGCTGAGAAAAATAAAACGGATTTCTGTGTCAGTAGAATCCCTCATCACCCTCATCGTGTTTGACTGCGTATAATTTTTCATGCTCGCCTCGGCTTGTGTGAGCTGCTATGATAAGGTAGTATTCGAGTCATCCATTATTAAACAAATTCAGATAAGAATCAAATACAGTGTAGAGAGTCTTATTAAAAGAGCTTGTATTTTTTCATGTCAATTCATCTTCAGGTGAGTTTACACAATTCCTCTGACAGAAAGATTAAAGCTTAGTCTAATCCACTCATGGTCAATAACGTATATACTGTATATGCCAAGAACTACAATGGGTAGAAATTTTATTTATCTGCACCACTGTTCACTTGCTGGAAAGTTCAAAGACAAATGTCTTTGGGGGGCTGGTTCTGTCCCTACTATAAGAATATATTAATATAATTTATATGGCTAAAAACTCATCTCTTCTGTGAGCACTTGACCATATCCTGCTGACTCTTAAAAAAAGTCTTATATGGTTTCACTATTTCTTAAAACCCTGCCTGTTCTAGAAAGTACTACTCTAGACAATGTTTGAAACTTTGTATTGTTAGCACTTCTCGTGTTTTTGCTCCTTATGATGAATTGCTTTGCTGTCTTACACTCTTAAAAACAAAGGTGCTTCACGATGCCATAGAAGAACCTTTTTGTCTAAATGGTTCCATAAAGAACTTTTAACATCTGAAGAACCTTTCTGTTTCACAAAAGGTTCTTTGTGGCAAAATAAGGTTCTTCAGATTACAAAAAGGTAAGAAAGAGATGGTTCTTTAAAGAACCTTTGACTGAATGGTTCTTTGTGGAACCAAAAATGGTTCTTCTATGGCATCGCTTGAAGAACCTTTTGAAGCACCTTTATTTTTAAGAGTGTACTCCGTAAGTTGCTTTGGATAAAAGTGTCAACTAAATGAATAAATGTAAAATGTAGAAATATGATATTAAAGGCACCGTAAGCGATTCTTTAAATTTTTCCTACTACATGACAGATATCACTGAAAAAGGTGTCTTGAGAAATCACACCTGTCACTTGGCTCTGTAAACAGCAAAAAAAATAAAAATGTTGGGATACTTTTTCTTTTTCATTCAGAAACAGCCAATCACAGAAAGCTCTCTGCCTCGATCCCTGCATTTTATGTGTCTGAATGAAGAACGTTTATAATAACATCTATGCACATGGGCACTTAGGTCTCAATTCAATTGTTTTTGAACCAGTCAACAGTCATAAATGCCATGTGACTAATTACTCTGAAATCACATTGAAATGTCATGTAAGATCTTATTCCCCAGCAGAATGCCATCTCGCGCGGAGCTGTTTGGAACTCCACCAAATTTAATCACCATATTTTGCGCTAATCTAATCAAAAGAGCCTTTCTTAACCAGTTAGCACGATGCTAAGGTAGTAGGCTATGCTGTTAGCTTACTAACCAAAGGCTACAACAATGTGATATGTCATTTATATGATATGAATTGACATTTTCTAGCCATTTCTAAGCATTTCTAAAGAAATAGGCACCGAACAGAGTGACCAATGGAACAATAGTTTTAGGCAATGGAATCACTTTGGGGTTCAAAGACACTTTTAAGAGCCCTCTAAAATAAAATTGAGTAGAATACTATTATTAAAATGCTATTGTTATTATTATTATTCAATACTAAATACTGAACTATTATATACTGTATATATATATATACATTAAAAAATATATATAAAAAAAAAGTGATTTGCTTACAAAAAGTATTTTATCAGAAGACATGGCAACTTTTGAATGGACGTCAATGTTGGCTAACCGGTGGTTTAATTAAAGGAATAGTTTACCCCAAAAAATTACTTTTTCCCATCATTTACTCGCCCTCATGTCATTCCAAACCTGTATGATTTAAGTTCTACTGTGGAACATATAAGAAGCTATTTTGAAGAATGCTGGTAACCAAACTCTTCCACAGAAGATAGAAAGTCATACAGATATGGAACAACATAAGGTTGAGTAAATTATGACAGAATTTTCATTTTTGGGTGAACTACCCCTTTGCTATCCCATTATACATGTTCTGGGACAAACCTGAAGTGTTGAGGTTCCATATTACAGTCTGTTTGTGAAATCCTGTCCCAAACCCTGGATTACACTCAGACTCATATCTGCTAAACTCACAATTGTAACAATATTTATTTTTTCTTGTTACATCATCAAATATTTTCTTAAGCTATCAAGTCTGCAAAGATGAGCAGGCTTTAACCATAATTATCTTCAAATGCAGTTTTATTAATCTTTTTTATTTAACACATGAAAGCTAATATTAATCCATTTTTCAACAAACAGAAAGCAAAATGTAATCAAGACAACACACTCCCAAGTGAGTCATTTGGGATGAAAGGAAATTTAAATGTTTCGAATATCGTCCCAGGGCAACATGTTCTCTACAACAGCAGATAACAGAGTCACATGTCAGTGTGAATTCTCTCTAATTAAAACGAACACAGGAAACAGCTGCCTAATCAAGATAGGCCTTAAGGCATGACAGTAATTTGTGGCCTCACTTAAGATGAGCATCTTAAGCTGTAAAGCAAAGGACAGCAGTCATCTGTTTGTGTGTGTGTGCGGGTCCTGAGTTATGAGGTCATTTACTGAGGAACCAAATGAGTGGTAGTGGCTCACGTGATCAATCTTACACAGGAGTGAAGGATTTCTAAACCATGGAGCTCCCTGAGTTGCTCCATGTGCCTGAAAAAATCAAAACAGATATATCAAACCAACAGAATTAGGTTCTTTTTCATTTTGACCACACAATGAACTCTGAACAGCCAAATATAAAACCAGAACTAAGAATATGAAATGCAGACAAGCGTCAGCCAGTTTGCTCTGCATACAAAGTAGGTTCATCGGTTATGTGTAATATTTTTGGCAGTGTCTGTACCCTCTACTGTTTTCTGTTTAAAATGTCTTTTTTAGGCTGCACTCTGATCTCAGAGGTTTGAAATCCCACTGTAAAGACTCATGCTCGGAGCAGCATTACCTTTAAAAAGTTGAAAGCTCATCAAAGATGAATGCCGTAAGATTTTGTCTCCTCTTTGTTGGATTGTCTTTGTTAGATGCTGACTGGGAGAACAAGACACTTCAAGAACACCTAACTAACAGAGCTGCTACTTTTCTCAGACCTGAGCTTGTGGACACTTTATAAATTAAAGATGAAGGGGAAAAAACTCAATAGTTTTTAGGTCATTAAAAGTATAAAGGCCCAATTGGTAAATATTTAAAGAGACTCTCACATCTGTAAAAGTGCTCATTAACAGCCCAAGCATGAGACAAGAATATAAACTCATTTCAAATTCAACAAACAAACATGTTTATATCTGAATCAGTTCATTTAGGATGCCTTGCTTATGTCCTTAAATTGTCGATCTGAGGTATTTTAATTCATTATGCATTCAAGAAGTTCATCATCTTGTTGAGGTTAATTATAGGGAGGCATTATCTTTTCACCTTCATGTTTCCCAAAGTATCACTCCTGTGTATAAGTACATCAGCATGAATGTTAATCAGTATAATACAGGTGACTGCAAAAGGCAAGTCAAACTTAATTATACCTGGGCTCTGTTTTGCACAGCTTCCCAAGAGTAATGGCTGCATTCTGCCGAATGGCTGCTCTTTTGGCGTCTCCAGCAGCATGGTGTAGCAGCAACTGAACACAGTCTGTGCCTAGGAGGCTACCGCCAGCTCCATCCACTTCTAAGCAATGGCCCATACACAAAGCTGCGTTCCCCACCACCAACTCGTCAATACTGCCCAGGAGTTTTCTCAAAGTGAGCAGCCCTGAATGAATAAATGTGCGTAGCGCACACAAACTTTCACAAAGTCACCGTAAAGCCACAGAACTTAAGAAACGTTATTGAATCCAATCCTCTGCCTCCCTGACCCTCAGAACTCACGTTTGTCAAGCTTTACCAGCTCTTCACAGGCCTGTGGGATTGAGGCAGTACAGAATGTCAGGGCTTTAATGGAGTATCTGGAGCTCATCTCTCCTCCTACCTGGCAGGACAGAAGGACAGACACACAAGCAAATTTCAGTTAAAAGTTCTACGATTGCATCTGCAATACTCTCCTGAGAGAAAACAATATACCTGGTGACCAGAATACAGTCATTTTTAATGGTGTTAAACTCCTTATCCTGTAAAGCCTGAAATTTTAAACAATATTTAGAAATAAATAATGAATATTAAAATATGTATTGCAATTACATTTTATGCATTATATTTGATACGGGATTTGGTTTGATATGATCAGGGTATTATGGGATTTACTGATCACATAAAAATGCATTTTTTTACTGTAAAAACTGTAAAAATTTCTATTGATCTAATTTCATAAAGGTTTTTTGTTTTGAGTTGTGGTTGTGAAATACAGAGTTTCAATGGCACCACAGGATAGAGAGATTCATGATTTTTTCTAAATATTATTTAATATGCCAGGCTTTACAGGGTTAAAGCGTTTAACTTTGGGGGCCGCAGTTACACATTGCTGTATTCTGGTGAACAAACAGACAGACAAACAGACAGGTAAATAATAATGAATAATACAGTAAATAAATAATGATAGCAAACAATGCCAACAAAGGATGAACTAGGTTGTTTATTAATAATTATTATTATTTATATTAAAAAATAATTAAATCATGTAGCAAAATTATACATATAAATAATAAATAATTTTCAAGGCAGATAATTGAACATATGGCTTTACATAGCTTTCAATGGCAACAAAGGATGAAAAAACAAAAAAACAAACATGGCGTTCAGGTCCAGCAAAGGATAAAACCAGGTCATAAATAAATATTTTAATGAATAAACATAGCAAAAATACAAACGTATTGTCCGCACACTGATGTAACTGCTCCATAAAAATAATTTATTGCGGCAACGTTTCGACCATCAGGTCTTCTTGTGCCTGACGAAGACCTGATGGTCGAAACATTGCCGCAATAAATTATTTTTATGGAGCAGTTACATCAGTGTGCGGACAATACGTTTGTATTTTTGCTATAGTTTGACTTTTTTTTGTCCTGCACCTGAGCTGTGTGAGTTTGTGGGATGTGCGCAACTTTCTTACACTTTAGTTAATGAATAAACATACAAATAAATAAAGGTAGCTTTTAACCGCTTTCAATGGAAATGGAAATATGGGTTCTGGGCTGATTTAAGACCGTAAAAATGTATAATACACTGGTTATGAAATATACAAGGCAAGGCAAGGCAAGTTTATTTATATAGCACATTTCATACACAATGGTAATTCAAAGTGCTTTACATAAAA